CATATTTACTATTCTTCATTTCTATAGACTGGGGTAAAAAGTTTTCTTGATTTATTTTATATGCATCATTAGTAATATTCATCTGTGCTATCAAAGGGGCACATCCCTTTTCCTTGGTATTAACACAATCAGATGAATAAAATAAAAAAAGCTAAAATGTCTTAAATAAATGACTGTTCTGACACTGCAACAAAGCAAAATAATCTTTGTCTTTACAAGATAATGCTTTCATGATTATCTTACCTGAAAAATCAATTACAAAGTTAACTTGGCTAAAACAAACAAACAAAAATTCAAGCAAACAATTAAATGAGATTCAAGGACTTCATATATCATGTGACCATGTGTCTAAAATAAAGATTCAAGGACTTCATTTATCATGTGACCATGTATCTGAAACAAAAACCTTATAAAGTTGAATTTTATTCATTTACATAATAACCCGATGTTATCATAAACATAATACATCAAAAGACTTCAAATACAAACGCATAACATTTAATCTCATAGATGATAATCATTAATTCTCATATTACATCAAACAACTTCAAATACAAAACTATAACATTTAATCTCACTTAGCTGATAATCATTCAATCACGATTTATGGTCAGCATCTGTGATTTAGGCGCTGCGAACGGGTTTCGTACATTTGCCTAGAAAAACCACAACTGCCAAAATATGCTGCGTTTGGTTCTGCAATGTTCTGTAAAGGATACGCAACAAACTTTTATAACTCAATTTCTGACAGCCTGCATTCCCTCTAAATTGTGAAACTGGTCTGCCCACATTTTTAACCTTTAGTGCACATATTTTATGGTCAGTGCAGAAGTATATAAATAACAATGAGATTTATGTAATGAGCCAGATACAGAAGTCTCACTCACAACTTTAATGATAAAAGTTAGTTGCGTTTCCTTTAAAGGACGTTGCAGAACCAACCCTAGCAGCCCCTTGACAAATTTACGTCCAGTAGTTTGCCACTGTTTTCTGGACGTTCAGCCCTCTGATACCACTATCGATACCAACGCAAGGCACATGGCCTGCAGCTGCTTTAATGCTAACATCTTATAAAAAAGTATGTTTGTTTAGAACACCCTACAATTTAGAAACAACTACCCTTCTTTCTCATTTAAGACACCATTACATATACTGAACTGTACATAAGACAAGTCAAGAACTGTACATGGAAATGGTAACAGGAATGCAACTTATAATTTGAAGAAAACAAAAATATTCATATCAATAGTTATATTTTGAGAAACATCTATGGAGAATATGTACTCATGAAGCTATATTTAACACTGACAACATACAAGTGAATAGGTGAGAAAACTTTACAAATAAGCAGACCATAGACTAGAGTTAGTCTCTTCTGTATACGAAGAACTAAAACTTAATTTCTGATTTATTGCATCTTCACCTTGTTTCCCTTTCAGTGTTTTATGTTTTTCTACTCTCACAGCCTGTCTTCATTTACCCTGCGCAATAACTGTCTTGCCCGTGTGCCCGCTTGTGCCCATAATAATAGTTGTGTGCATTGTTCAAACAATCATGATAATTATAAGATCAAGTTTCAAAGTTTCAACTGTCGGTCAGCTTAATTCTCGTCTTTATATACTAACGAGGACTGTTTTGAACACTGTACAAATAATCGTGAATTACATAAAAGTAAAGAACCTTTTCCACACCTTTGTCATACTGGGCATATAGGGCTAGACCTAAGCGGCACTAGTGATTGATGTGGTCATCATCACGCCACCCACCTTTACTTGCCAGGACTTTACCTGAAATACATTTAAGGCTGAGTCAACCTGGGAATCAAGTTCATTTTGGAGAAACAAGTCTGGCTCCATCAGGACCTGAACCCACAACCTTTGGATCCGCATCTAGCCGCTACACCATGGTTGCTCTTTCATGAGTTACATAATCAAGTAATAATAATTCTATTGCCAGTGTTTCCCTGCTTGCCTTCATGCACAAAGAACAATAGTTGTGTACACTGCAATCAGGATGAGCAGCAGGGCCAAGTTTCAATGTTTCAGTTGTCTCCCTCTCACTGCTAACCTTCTTGTACCGTACCAGGACTATAGTATTTATAGTTGTGTATATTGTACAAAAGTGATAAGTCACATGGCCAAGTTTTAAAGTGGCTATTGTCTGTGTCTTACTGCTTGCCTTCTTGTACCCAGGACAATAGTTGTGTATATTGTACCCAAAAAATTATTTATTGTTTTAACGAGTTGCTGAGCACATTCTAGTATGGGTTGAAAAAGCCATGCAAAATAATATTCAAAACATGAATACTGGCCGCAAAGATCACCACTCCTCAATAGCACACCATCTTCCAAAATCTGAACAAGTGGTAACTAAGGACAACACATTTCAAATCCTTCATACGTCAACCAGTGGCAGAACGTTAGGATTTCTTGAAGCTTCTGCGATTTGTCCCATGTCCCCGAACTCTGTATACAGAAAGATATGGTTCTGACTTTACGGCTGCCCTGGTAAAACAGGCAGTTATATTTGACTTGTTGAATTTCTACTTCAGTTATAAAGGATTCACTTATCTGCTTCATTTATGTAATTGTTACTGATGAAATACAGTGAAATATGCCAGGCATTAAATTGTGCAATCTATTGTTTGTGTCTTCTTTGTTAAAAAAAATGATAAGTCAAATAGCCAAGTTTCAAAGTGTCTTTTGTCTGTGTTTCACCGCTTGCCTTTTTGTACCCAAAAGTTGAGTATATTGTACAAATAATGAATGATAAGTCACATGGCCAAGTTTCAAAGTGTCTATTGTCTGATCTTTCTGCTTGCTTTATTGCACCTATGACAACAGCTGTGTGAATATTTACAAATATTCATTATAAACTATATGCTCAAATTTCTATCTTTCTGTTGTCTGCCTCTTATTGATTTCCTTTCAGAACTCTGGAAATTAGTTTTGCAATTATACAAACATTGAGGATGAGTTTTACAGTAAAGTTTCAATGATTCTGTTGTCAACCTCCGACTGCATTGGAAAATGCTGTGGTACAAATAATTTTTGATGACTTACATAGCATGGCTTAAAAAGAAAATATTTAATAATCAAACCTGTAGTAAAAAAAAATTAAAGGACCCTTTTCCACGCCTTTAGGCGTATAGGACATATAGGTATTTTAGAGACCAAACGGCACAAGGTGGGTGATGTGGTCAGCACAGGCCAATCAAACCTGTAAGTGTCACTATAATGTAGAAACAAATATTACGAATACTTGCTCCTATCCACTGCCAGCTACTCTGGATGCATCACTACAACTTACTCAAATGGCAATTCAACAAAACATTTCAACATCAATTTAGAATAAGAAATCAGTTATAACTGAATGTAACTCTAATTCTCGCTGCTACATCAAACGACCGTCCCAGTCTTTACACTGGCTTATCTGAAAGCCTATAAATATTTTATAAATTCAGGTTCCCTATACCGACCCTAGATTATCAACATTTTTGAACAACAAGAAGAAGAATTCTTGCTATCTGTCTGTAACTTATCAGTTGCTTGAGAATTTTAAAACAAAACTCGACACATATTTGATTTTACACATACACAAAATCCAAATTAATCAAACTGCACAAAGCCATATAATCAGTTCAGCATTTTTCTCTCAAAGTGGAATGTAAGAACAATGAATAATGAACAAATAATATGCAGTTGTACTTCAGAGATATAACTACGGCATGCATAATGTTTACATGAAACAAATGATACAGAAAGCTCTAGAAAGAAGTATACTCTGTGTTGATATAAAAATAGATATACATCTAGGAAGAAATTTTGTTGCATTGCTTATTCAATTTCTGCCCTTAAAGACTCTGAAATATATTTTTTTTTAAATAATGCTAACTTTAAAACAGTATGATAAAATCAGTAATAACCTAAAATAAAGTTTTTCTGGTGATAGCAAATAATGGCCGCAGACAGGGTCATTGACATTTGAGATGAATATAAAACACACTTTCAACCGATACTTGCAATAATCAATAAATAAAGCTAATATGTCATTTTAAAACAAAATATAATGTAGAATAGTAAACAAAGATTGTTTGTCTTTAATTAGTGGCAAAATGTACATGACACATTTTACTGAAGGATACTCAGTTTTGGATGTATAACAAACATGTTCTAGTTTTCTTTTACAGCAATAACAAAAAGACTTTATATGTATGACAGAAGTATGGAAGATGAAATGTTAAACAGAAAATAAAAAACATATCGCAGAAACAACAATCAATAGTGTAAGACACATTAACATAGAAACATTTAACAAATCAAAACATAAACTGGTATGTACAACTGTGGATCCAATATTGTGCAGAAACAAGATAAAGTTCACAGAATTAATAGAACAAAATAATATATACATGAGAATAAAGTTAACTAGAAATGATTATCTGCAATTTTGAAAAAAAAAAAAATTTTTTTAGTGAAGTTTCATATTTTTGAAAATGCTTTTATTAATCATGGCAGTTTATATTTCAAACAAAATTTTAAAATTACAAGAATTTGCTACACTTGCTCGAATCTCAGTATTATAAAACATACTTGGATAAGTCTGCTTTGATTACAATTAAATTAATAAACGGCCATCTGCAGGAATTATAAAAATAATATTACTACAACAAAAATTTGAGACATAAAACATTTCGATAATGTAAAAAATACTGCACTTTTTTGTTCTTTTAAACACAATTCTCTCTCCCTCTCTCAAGTTTCACTGAACATATTAGATGAAAGTGTGAATGGACAGGCACAGAACGGACCAGAGATAACCATTTTTAAATGGCAAAATGCATAAATCAGACAGCAAATAACTAGTCACTCGTTTTCTGTAATATATGCTACAGTGATTGCCCTTACAATTTCTTTAGACCTTATCTGTGAGAACAAATGCAACTTGCAGGAAAAACCATGTTAAAAATAGGGCAGGTGCCCTTTGACCCTGATGGAGCTTCATGTGACAGGTAAATCTGTGTTGTCCTGAAATATCAGTTTCACAAAAGGTCTGGACTCTAACAGTGGTGTTGCACAGAATGGGCAAATGGTTTGAAACCCATGAGAACCATGTGGCACTGCTATTCTTGACCAGAATCTGTAAAATAAATCCATTATTTATTATGTAGTACGTGGTTTTTAACTAAATAAAGATGTTTGAAGGGTGAAGTTTGAACAACAGATCAACATCATGGCAGACTGGTATATATACCTATAAGTGCTCTGTTCTTTCTTCTAACTCGTCTGTCTGAAGAAGCTCAGCACAGTGCACAGGCTCTGTAGCACCCACGAGGATCCTGAAATACTTTGGGTAGATTTTTAACTTCAAATTTTGCCCCGACAGCGCCATTAGGCTACTTTTTTTGATTTCCAACTGCCAAGGGATTTTTTTTACGTGTGCAACAATGCAACACAGACGTCCAATCTCACTACCCAGAGACCAGGGAAAATACTAGAAGTCCAAATCCGCGTGAAAACAATCTCAACCCTTACCTGCGTTTGTACCCGGAACCTCTAGCACTCGAGGCGGACACCATGCCTTGAGACCACGCAGCTCCCTAAATAAAGATGTGGGCAATCATAACATGAACAGGGTGCCGTGGGCCATGCTGCACAGAGGGGAACATCAGGAAAGAAATAAGGGAAAATAAAGAGAAATTTATTGCAAATACGTTCAAAGTTAAAAGGTCTGAAAAGGAGCATACCAAATACAGGTGATCCCCATGTGGGTCCCGGGGTCAATTTTGGAGAGGGGTCACAATAGACCCACTGTCCCCCAATAAGCATGTCAGATAAGGGGCGCATAATTCAAAGTCAGAATGCATCTGCTTGAGAGGCGAGGAGCTAAGTGTCTGCACACAAATAATCAAAATCTGTAAAAATGGATGTGCACGCTAAACTCAAGTTCAGGAATAGTACTCAAGTCCAGAAGTAGGCAAGCAGCCAGAACTTTCCATGAAGAAGAAGAAGAAGAAGCAGAAATACACATGATGGCTGTAATAGTAATAAAATCATTTGCTCTCTAATGGGGTAAGGTGTTACTTAACTTGAATGGGTTTTGCTAGTCACACTCGCCACCACCCAGGGCTGTGATTCCTATGCTTCCCTGCCATTATCTTCACCAAGTGCCTCTCCATACTCTGCAATCTTCAACAGCATGTTGACACAAGGCTGTCAAGAATCTTCTTACATTGACTTACACTGACTCTCTTTCCACAGATCGTTATAGTGGTCACAACACAATATAGTTTCCTTCTCATAATATGAACAAAAAAACTATGACTTTTTCTGATGTTTATAATGTGTTGTTTTCAAGCCCTTGCCTCTTTCAAAACATCTGGCCCCCTATCCCAATATAACTCTATTATCTGTAAAGATAGAAAGGTGCAAACAGTAAGTATAGTGAACTGGCAATGTGTTGTGTGTGCATGGATGTAAGCAGCAAAAGCACAGTGATAGTGTAGTGCCAGATGCATCTTCCTCTGGGATTTGTTTTCAAATGCACTTAACTTTCATTCTGTGTCTTTTGTGCTTCTCCAACTTTGACTGGAATTTGTGAAAACTTAAAAAAACATTAGAACTGAAACTATTTTACTTTGTTTTATAACTATAGAATTTAGAGATCCATATTTTGTTCAGTTTTTTAAAAGATGCTGATGAATTTGTGTCATTATCTCTTTCTCTCTAATCAAGTGTTGATTCTTCTTCTGCCTTTCTAACCCCCAATCAACCACCCAACCAACTCACACCAAGTCGTTCTATCCTTCGCTATCGCAGGCAGCTCTCCCTATGTCCTCCTCATCTTTGCAGCTTCCAGCTCCCTTCTTCTTGTATTTTTTTGTTTGGGTCTTCCGTTTCTACGCCCTTGTGGGTTCCAGTGCAAAGACATTCTAGTTATATTGCTTTCAGGCTTTCTCAATACCAGTGTCTTTTCTTCCCCTCTTGGTCCGCTAGAACTTGTTTAGTTCTCTCCTAAAGCTCTACATTGGTGATTCTATCATACCATTTAATTCCCTATATTCTGCACCATCCTCCATGTGTGAGCCAGCCACATGAGCCTTCGTAGGCTGAGCATTGAGAAGACTGCTGTAGTACCTGCTCTTTCCAGTACCTCAGTGTTTGCGATTTTGTCCTGCCACTTAATGCCAAGTATTCTTCTTAGGCATAGCATATGAAAGCTATGTAGCCGTCTCTCCTGCTGCGAATAAATTGACCAAGCTTCACCAAGCACTGAGAACACAAGCCTGACAGACAAGAGTTTTTGTTGTCTATTCTGCGCAGGCACCAGTTAATGAATGTTGTTTATTAGTAATTGTACTCCATGTTTCCGCTCCATATAACAGCACTCATTCGACATTAGAATTAAAAATTTGAACTTGAGTATTAGTTTTAATTTTTTTTAACCTCTACAAATTCCCTAGTGCTATGAAAGCTCCTTTTGCCTTTTGTATTTTTATTTCAATATCTCTATCAGTGCTGATTAGTCCGCAAAAATAAATATGAATCAAGCACGTGCTCCACTTGCACCGAACGGGATCCATTATACTCTTATCTTTAACGAGTATTTTGCTAAGGAAATCTTCTGAGACAAAAAGAGTTAAGGACTGAGACAATACATGAGTGAAACACAGTTAAGACAGCTATATTCACTTACTTTGCTGTGCATTCAGAAACCATATGACCACAAGGAGAGAAACAATATGTTGGCTGTTCAGAATCAACGTATAAGCTCAACTCACATCCCATTTGCAGCTTGATGAATGATCCATCCTTTATGGATATAATAAATAAATATTTCTGTTTAACTATTCTAAATAATATTTCACAATAAGTCATTGTTATAAGTTAGCTTAAGAGGTATAATTACTGTTTCATAATTCCAAATAAGGTTCAACAGCTGCAGGTCAATTGGCAGCAAAGCCATTCCGAATTGACTTCAACAAAGATATGAGTGTCAAACCATATGGATTACTATAGCAAACCAGTGAATGTAAAATTGTCTAGTTAAATCAACAAAATAGCTCAGGTTATTTTGCAATGTCATATAAAAGATACAAAACTATTATAACTTCAATAGTTATGTGGACAAAATACACAGGGCTTCAAAAAAGTAGAAAACCTATCTAGACAAGTAAGAATCCTAGCATAAAATCTAAAATTAATCTCTTTGCAAATGCCCTGTCATTCTTGGTGATTTAGCAACTTGTTTTCTTGCAATAACTTTCAGTTTTTAGAGTGTTTTCCTTCTTTCAAGCTGGAGTACTTCTACAGAAAAAAAAATTCTTAATTTCTCAGCATTTTTAATCTAAATTTTAAAAAAATAAAATTAGTTTGGTCTGCTCAGCAACAAAGGTAAACCTAGATTATTTATTAGTCATATTCTTCTGCTTCTTCTTTTGTGCCCACCCCTTAAAAGGTCAGCTGTTTTGATTGAGGGGTAAAAAAAGCAAGTCATAAAAGCCAACTAAATGGATGAGCTGGGCCTCAAGGTGTAGATACTGAAGACTAGCTGTCAGCCACAACATACAGAGCAAACCATCTTTTTAAGAGCGAAAACATAAGGAGAAGAAGATCAACTAGCGTCATGGTTATCGGTATGCTTTCTGAAGAACACTTTTTTTTAGTATCGAACCTGGCATCCCGGCATTACAAAGCGTGTTTGCAACGTCTAATCCACAGATGCTTATAAACATTAAGCAGGTCAATAATGTAAAATATATTCTCGTAAACATTAAATTGGTCAATAATATAAATCACGTTCGCATAAACATTACACAGGTCAATAAAAAAAAAAAATCACCATTAAACACAGTGGGCACTTCCGAATATTAGTGTCAGTTTCTCCCCACTCGTGGTTACCATGAACATGACCACAAGGTAGATACACATAGGGCTGACGATCACGAAGGTTCAATGATCCTCTCGTTGGTAAAACCAGGGTGTTCAGCCCAACAGGGCACTGAGGGCGGCCAGCATTCAATCGTCCAACTAGCTGCTGAAACTCATTTTCGCTCTGGGGGAAAAAACCAGCACAATATAAAGTCACATATTTACTTCTAATTACTGATCGTCTTCTTTTTCTTCTACATTTGGCCTCAAAACAGGGGTCGGCTCAATTATGCGATTCCAGGAAACTCTTTTAATTAGTTAACCGAGCGTTATTAATATCCTACCCCAAACATGGGAAATCCACAGGTCACAGGACAGTCTTATATTTCAGGGGGTGGTTGATAGGCTGCATGCAGTCGTAGAACCTAGGCTGCACTCTCTCATGGGACATAGGTGGGCTGGGGTTAGGGTCAGTTCTAGATGTTTTGGGGTCATTAAAAGCATCAGAAAGCCAGTCCTACCACCTTCTAAAATGTTGGACTCTCCTGTGACGTCATTTTGGGTAGGATACAGAACCTAGTTATCTTTTACAATGTGTTTGAATGCTGAATTAAAAATCGACATCATAGTACTCGAAACACTCCCATTATTGCACTGTACCTATCTTCAGCAGCACACGATTACCTGGCAACTCCCCGCAGCGCCATTCTCCTCAAACCGTAATGATCTATTTGTCCCTGTGCACTGTTCGCGCTTTCTCAAAGGGCCCCTTACAACATCTAGATTGTCATACATCAATTTACCACCAAGTAGTGCAGGATCGGCCAGTCTATCTACCTGCTCGTTTTTTACAATGTATTTGTTATTGGGCACTGTATCTATTTATTCCTTTTCTCCTCTAGAATGGGGGTCCCACAACTTATACAGGAAACTACTGCACGCTTTATATATATATATATATATATATATATCTCTCTCTCTCTCTCTCTCTGTGTGTCTCTGTGTGTCTGTGTGTGTGTTTATATATATATATATATATATATATATATATATATATATATATATATATATATATATATATATATATATATACACAATTTCATTTTTTTCCATACAACCTAACTGAACTGTTGATTCAGCACAATGTCAGTGCTGAAAGCACTTTTAGTAATAACTGTCTAAAAGTTTAGGTCTAAAAAAAAACTTTGTATGCAGAAGATGAATGATGAAGATGGCACATGTCTAAGCTCAACTTCGTAATGAAAGATGCATCCAGAGTTTAACATCATGATGCATGAGGGACACACATCAAAAGATAATATACACCATGATGTATGAGGCACATACAAGAGCTCCACATCATGAGATATTAGGCACATATCAGAGCTCAACATCATGATGTATTATGCACATATCAGAGCTCAACATCATGATGTATTAAGCTCATATCAGAGCTCAACATCACAATGTATTAGGCACACATCAGAGCTCAAAATCATGATGTATTTGGTACATATCAGAGCTCAACATCACGATGTATTAGACATGTATCAGGGCTCAAATTCATGACGTATTTGGTACATATCAGAGCTCAACATCATGATGTTTTAGGCTCATATCAGAGCTTAACATCACAATGTATTAGGCACATACCAGAGATCAACATCATGAGGTATTAGGCATATATCAGAGCTCAACATCACAATGTATTAGGGCATATATCAGATCACCCATGCTTTTGTGGTGTTTTTATTTTTTTATAATATGCATATTATCAAATGGATATAACACGCTTATTGATAAAATACAGCTGCAGTGTGAAAGATGGGTTTTTGGAAGGGCCGAATAAAAGACGGGCCTGCGTGCAATTTGTGAAGCTTTGAAAATAAAACTCTCAATTCAACTTTACTACTGAATGGGTAGCCCATAGGTTTCATCAAAAATCACTGCACCCCATCCAACCCTACCCCGAACGAAATTACAGTATCCAAACTGCGAGTATATATCCAACTTACTTATCAAGGTGATGACATCATGCAGCGTCTGCAGGACCGACTGAAAACAGCAGTTGGCCAAACATTCTTTGCGGCTGTTCCAGTAGTGAGGTACAAGACCACTCCTATCCCAACCCCACCTATTAAACAGCTCCTTTCTCCGAACACTAAATCTAATTGTATTTACCAATTTATATGTAGGTGCCAGTTGACTTACATCGGTCGAACGGAGAGACAGCTTGGAAATAGAGTGGCAGAGCACATACCAAAATCGCTACATACACAGCTCAATGATTCTTCTACGGTGTTGAGACCAGTCAAGACGAAGGAACCCGCTTCTTCCATAGGACGGCATCTACTGAATTCCAAACACATAATTGACACAGACACTGCTTTCCGTGTGGTTTACCACACTCCGAACAGGAGACTTTTGAGAATCGCAGAAGCCATAACAATAAGAATCAAAAACCCTCTTCTTTGTAAGCAGACGGAATTTGTCGTACATTTTAAGTTACCCTAGTAGTCAGTGACTAAGGTGAGCTTCCGGCGGCCATGAAAGAGAGACAATGTCTCGAAGAAACTATTCGCATTTCTGTTGAATTTATTCAGTTTTGTGCTTTATTTTATGTTGATTTAACTCTGTAGTAACGCACCTGATGAGATACAGCGAAATATGCCTGGCAATAAATTGTGCAATGTATTGTTTGTATCCGCCTTATTTAAAATAAAGTTTGTTCGTTTGTTCATTCATTCACAACATCATGATGTATTAGACACATATCAGAGCTCAATTTCATGCAGTATTAGGCAAATATCAGAGCTCAAAATCATGATGTATTTGGTACATATCAGAGCTCAACATCATGATGTTTTATGCACATACCAGAGCTCAACATCATGAGGTTTAGGCACATATCATAGCTCAACATTATGATGTATTAGGCACATATCAGATCTCAACATCATGATGTATTAGGCACATATCAGAGCTCAACATCATGATGTATTAGCCACATATCAGAGCTCAAAATCATGATGTATAAGGCCCACAGCAGAGCCCAACATCATGATGTATCAGACATATACTACATCTTAAAAACATGATATATAAGGCACATAGCAGAGCTTAACATCATGTTTAAGGTGCACAGCAGAGCTCAACATCATGATGTATAAGACATATACCACAGCTCAACATCATGATGTATGAGGTACATATGAGAGCTCAACATTATGATGTGTGAAGCACACACCAGAGCTAGTTCCAAAATTCTCTTTAAATCCTGGCACTAATATATAAAAATAGCAAAAATAAGAAAATGCAGAAAAATATTCAACCTGCCAATAAACTCTCTCTCTCTCTTTCTCCCTCTCTCTCTCTCTCACTCTGTATATGTACATGTGTGCATGCAAGGCATGTGTGACAGAATAGATTTTAAATTCTAACAATGAGAATACATCTCTGAAATGGAAACAAAGCTACCCACTCAATTCAGTCTCTATTCCTGCCCAACAGCGTGTAATTCTGTAAAGGACCCTTTTCCACACCTTTAGGCGTACTGGGCATATAGTGCTAGACCTAAATTTGACTGGGTGATGTGGTCAACATCCTGCTGGCCACCTCTGCTTCCCCGGACTTTACCTGGTACCCATTTAAGGCTGGGTCAACATGGGCTCCAAGCTCAATTGTGAAGACTTTCAGATCAGCAGGGATGTATCTAGGCTCTACACCATGGTGGCTCCCAGTGTAATTCTGGCTGTACAATAACTGTTTGTTCAAGTTTTAAATATCTACAAATGTGTCAACACCATAGAGATAGTTATTCCTTCTTGACAAGAATGGAAAGAAACACTAAAACAAAAACAATGAAAAAGAAAATGCACTAACCGGTGAGGAGATTAAACCAAGAGCTGATCTCCACACAATTGTGGCTCCACAGAGATCAATGAGTGTCCCATCTCTCAGGACATTGTCCTCCTCTGTCATCTAGTAGAGCACACATGAATAATGCTAACCTGTGCTGATGAGCTGGTTTGTGATTTTAAACAGTGTCCCATAAATTTCCATTAATACCAAAAATAAACATTTCACCAACACTGTTACATGTTTCGTCACCCAGCTTCTGAGTTGAGTGCATGGTGTGACACTGTGAGCTACGAGTGTTTTTCGTTGGCACAGGAGCGGAGCAACAATGGGGTGACCCGTTTGCTATGATGCTGAAACTAGGATTACCAGATTACCAGATTACTGTTACATGTAAAACTCCAGCAGTGCTTATACAAGTTTCACAGAATGCACATGATATGTGTTTTCAGAACTACGGTAGTCATAAAGAGAGAATACTATACTAAAAAAAAGAAAATGGTTTTCATTTAAAAAAATGAATAGTTTTCCTATGTATGGAAACTTGCGAGATACCCTGTACAGTTTTTAACTCTTTTTTAATGTCTGTATTTACCACTTTTTAGGTAGTGCAGGACATGAAACCTGAAGATTCCGGGCGATGAGGCTAGTGCTATCTCCATCTCCATGGGCAGCACAGGTTAGGACTATATTTTTGCCCATGACAGAAGAAATCCACCACCTTACCAAGTATTTGAACGTGAGTCTCCAGAATGAGAACTCAAGGGAAAGGCGAGATGGATGTACAATCAGACTGTTACTGGTGCCATGAGAATTGTAACTCTTGCTGCTGAAGATGGGAAACAAGCACTTATGGGAGTGTTCCGAGTGCTATGATGTTATTCCTAATTCAACATGGATATATGTCTGGGATGCAAAGCTGAAGTCTGGGATATGCAGGAGTGTGACGAAAAGAAATAGCGGATTTTATGGCTACAAAACCTACAGCTGCATCAACACTCGTACTGGACAAAGGAGACATTCTGAAGACCATTTACTAATGAATATGGGAACAAGAAATTATATGCATCAGGTAAGCAGCAACATATTAAAGGGGAAAAAAACAAGTTTATCTATTCTTCTTTGTTCACCAGCTGTGAGCTCCAGCGGAAAGACCTGGTTGTTCACCCATTTGGACTTTGGCTTTGTGCCAGAGCCTTTTTGTGTGTATATCCATTTTACTAGCTTACTTCTGAGCAGCTGGTTGTTCTTTGCCGCTAAGGCAGATGTATTCTGACCTCGAAGGAAGCCCCCAATTAGTCAACTCTTACCACATGCTTGTTGGAGAGGCAGTGGGTCTGTTTTTGTTCTCCCCACAATGAGGCCCCAGAACCCACATGGGGAAATGAGTTTATAATCAGTGTGCTACGGGAACATTTAGCATCTACACCTTAAAACATTTGCTATGGGAGAAGGAACACCTATGGGTATGTCCAGTGTGCTATGCTGTTGATTCTTCAGTAAATCAGTAAATATTGTGGACCTTTTCTATACTCATCTCTAATAAACCTCTTTTGTTCATAAAGCACATGCCAAAGCTCAACTTCATAATTTAAGACATACATTCAGAGCTCAACATCAGGATGCATGAGGGACACATATCAAAGGATAACATACATCATGATGTATAAGGCACATACCAGAGCTTAACATAATACATAAAATGAATGAACAAGGTTTGACAGAGATGAATATAAAAAAGTCCACTTTATTCTCCTACCTGATGACTTTTAAGTGGAGATGGTCTAGAATCCCTTAAAGAAAACAAGCCGCCCCCAACAGACACTTCCCTCCATGGACCTGGCTTGCCTGCTGGAGTAAATCCTCCCTGAGGTTGCATAATGAACACTCCATTGGTTGTCAGTCCGTCAACATTGTCATCAGAGTACCACTTCACGGCTTTTTCCTGGGAACAGAGTCAGGCAAAATGCAGGATTATCTACATTTGTAGCTGCAAGGATACAAGAAAAAAAAAAGCATGAACAGCTTTCAAAACACACAAAAATTTGTTAAGTCAACAAAAATTTGTTAAGTCAACAAAAATTTGTTAAGTCAACAAAAATTGGTTAGTCAAAAAAAATTTGTTAAGTCAAAAAAAATTTGTTAAGTCAACAAAAATTTGTTAAGTCAACAAAAATTTGTTAAGTCAACAAAAATTTAGCCTGGTGCTAAACTCAGAGGGAGCCGCTGGGCTGTAGCAGTTAGACATCCCACCCCCCTCTCCCTGTGGATCTGAAGGTTGTGGGTTCAAATCTGCACAGAGCCAGATTTTTTCAAACATGACCTTGGCTCCCAGGTTGACCCAGCCTTAAATGGGTACCAATTAAACTCCTGGGAAGTAAAGGCGGCTGGTGTGATGTTGAAAACATCACTGCTGAATGGTCTGCAAATTTAGGTCTAGCAATATATGTCCATTGTGTAGATTTTTTTTTATTATGGTATGAGGTATCGTGGTTTGACCCAGCCTAAAATGGGTGCAATGATGTTTGTCAAGGGGAAGTAAAGACGACCCACGTAGTGCCGATTGGTCTGTAAAAATATGGGTGCTCTTCGCATATGCCCGTTGCGCCTAAAGAAGTCAAAGGGGATCTTTACTTTTTTACTATATGCCCATAATACCTAATGGCTTGGAAAAGGGGCTTTTATTTAACTTTACTAACTTAGAATATTTACTCCAACATTAAATCAGTACTGCTATACTGACCACACAAACTGAAAAAAAAAAAAACTATTACAAATAAACTACAAATATTCATTAATTAGTTGCCTGCACAGAAAAGAAGAGTCATTAATGCTGGCCTTACTGACAGAACTAAAAATCCACTGAATCAACAGACAAGGAAAGAAACACTGGACAGGATACAAATTGAGAAAACTTTCTATACACGAAGGAAAAAAACATGTTTCAATGAAAACTATTTGTATTTATATAATAAACTCTACATGGCTACCCTTGTTTTAAAAACATATTTTGTGTGTCCTCACTTTTTCACTTTATAAAAATATGTATAAGCACAGATGGAGTTAAGCTTGTAATGACACTGGTGGTATGTTTATTTTTTTCCATGTATCGAAACTTATGGGACACCCATAAAACCCCTTGCTCTGGGACCCACATTGAAAGGTGGGGGGGGGGGGGGGGGGGGGAGAGCGGTCTAAGAACATGTGGAGAAGAGAACAAAAATCAGAGATAAATAAGGAGGATTTTTGTTTCCCTCAAAATTGACCTAGGGTCCTTGGTCAAACCAGCCTAAAGTGGGTATCAAGTAATGTCCTGGGAAGAAAAGGCAGCTGGTGGGATGTTGACCTATACAGTCCATTGGTCTAAAAAAAACTTTACCTTTAGATGATTACTAGGTGACCAATTTTTAGGACACTTTTGAATTATCACAGATGTTTCCCATTGATTTAAATATAAATTTGGTTTTCAAACTCCCATTTCTTGTCTTGTAGGAAAAGTGAAATCAGTTCACATTATAGAATGTTCAGTACCACTTGAACATTGACTAAAGAACACGACTGTAAACTGACTATCAGCAAAATGAGATGTCTGAGAAAAGCCATGGACAAAACTATAAGAGGTCATGTGAAAAATGAAATTACAAGAAATATTGGAATAACACCTGTAATTATATTCACTGAAAAACAAAGACCAAAATGGTTTGTCCACGTATGTCAAAATGGTTTGTCAAATAATGCTAGTAATGAGAGGTATAACATGCATGAAAACACACCAAACGTAGAGGTCGACCAAAAAGAACTCAGACTGAAGAAGTCATTAACACCTTGAGACTCCACAACAAGGTACTAAAATAGGGTTTGTATAGACGAAAGATGTCGGCTCTGTGGCTAAGTCAATGTGAACGCTTCGTAATGCCGGGTTGCCGGGTTCGATCCCAGCTGTCGGCCATGCGCCTTGCATTGGTTTCGACAGCGGTATGAGGGGGCCGACTGTCCAGAAAGCAATGGCAAACTACTGGACGTAAGTTTGTCTAGAGAAACCACACAGCAGCCAGGGGCTGCGCTGGGGTTGGTTTTGCAACGTCCTGTAAAGAATACGCAACTAACCAATACCCTAGTTCAGATACCAATCATCTGTTAACCTGTGACACGTAGTGACACAAAGCAGAATACGAACAACAGAAAGGAGTACTATAAAGAGTGACAGAGGGTGAAAATGAGAAAAAATTCTTGATACCTTTTGGTCAAGTTTTCTTTCTCTTCTGTGTTCACCCTTGAAAGAGGAAGTTGGTACAGTGTGTTGTTGTTTACAGCAAGGCTGCGATGTGTGCACCTTTCGACTAACACATCCCGTTTCAGCAAATCCCTAAGTATTTACCTTTTATGACATGCTTGTTAGGAGGGCAATGGGTCTATTCTTTGTTTCCCCCCAAACTGGAGTCCTAGAACCCACACCGGGACTGTATTATAAAAAGATGTTAACATACAAACTAATTCACATATGGTGCATGTCAAAAGTGGGACAGCTATGTCCACATACAAACTAATACACGTATGGTGCATGTCAAAAGTGGGACAGCCATGTCAACATACAAACTAATACATGTATGGTGCATGTCAAAAGTGGGACAGCCATCTTTAAACTGTCATTATGAAATCACCATGTCTGTCTACATCGAGATTTCAAAATCTTAACACTCTTGACATCCTTAACAAAAATACTGACAGGTTACAGGACAAAGGGATGGTTATTATAAATTTCTATCACACTATTAAGTATTCCTTTAAAGCCCAGTCGTACATACCCTTGAAGATCACAAGATATTAAGAATCATAAACACCCATGTTGACTGCCACTGCACTTGATAATGACCACCATACATTTAATATCTATACCTGCAGTTAGATATATTTTTATCATCTTACCCCGAGAAATATATTCCTGCCAGAGTCAAAACCCGCTGCATATATTCTAGCTGTGTAAGGTGGCGACCTGTCCACAAGAATGCGGCAGGCAAACCTGGAAATGGTGCTCTGTGGCGCTGTGTCACGCTGATTGCGCAGGTGACCTGGAACTGTGTCCATTACCACAAAATCAATAGGACCTTCCATGGATCTTCCAATCTGTCAATTATACAATAAATAAATTAGGAACTGACAAAAGAAGAAGGGATGAAAGTGAGCTGAAAACAGAAACACAAGCAAAATACAGAATCTGTTATTTTAAAGATTTTTTTAGGCTCCATCATCATTACGAAACGTTTGTGCCATTATACTTCACGTACGGTTTCAAAATTATTCCTCTGTTGCATTCTATACTGTACAATCCTTCTGATATGGTGTATGGAGTCCAGAGTCCAGGTGGCCTCTCTGGTCTTTCTAATCAACATTTTTCAGAGTTTTTCCTCAGACGTCCTTGCTTCTTTAATTCATATGTTTTCCATTTCAGTGCCTCTTATGGCTTCTTCATCCATTCTGTCTCAGAATATGACCAATATTCTGCTTTTTATAAATGTTGATAATAGTGGTTGTTTGATAATAGTGGCTGTCCAGACATTCCTATTAATTTCTTAACCTTTTCAAAATACAACCCATTGAATGCACACTGACTCCGTTGCCCCAAAAAAATCAGAGCAGTTATCAGTGCAAGCATTCACCCAAAATAGGAGATTAAGTCTAACTTAGAGCCTTGTGGGTTCAGAAAAGATTTAACTGTGAAGAGTCTTTATACCCATTTCATTCTGAGAGATGTAAGCCCTTTTCAGGGATCAGACACGGAGTAGGAAGGCAAGAGACTGCACTGCAAAGCATGACCTAAAAGTTATAATCAGCCTACTAAAGGATTCACAACCTGCTAACCTCTCACCAGATTGTTAATTCCAACAGAAAAGAACTGAATCTGGAGGTGTACATCAGACTGTAGTCTTACCTGGAACATATCAGTGTCCTCATCTTTTAAGTACTCTACAATGATAGCTTTGTTTCTGGACAATGTGTAGGATACTGAGTGCTGGGATTGATCCTGTACAGCCTGTAGATATCAAGAATAAAAGAATGAATGTCAGTTAGTTAGCTGTTTGGTTGGATAGATGTTGGTTGGGGTTTGTTTTTTTGGCTAGATATTGGATGGTTGCTTGGTTGGATAGATGTTGGCTGGCTGTTTTTTCTTTCTGGTCAGATGCCAGAGGTTGGTTTGCTGCTGGTTGGATGTCAGTTGGTTGATTTATCAGCTTGGCTAAATGTCAGTTGGTTGGCTGGTTGATTGGTTTGTCAATAAGTTAATAAGTTAACAAACCCTTCCCACTGCATATTAACTATTAGGGATGTACTGAATATTCGCTTTGTATTCGCTTCAGGGCCAAATAGTGGACCTAATAACTATTTGGTATCAGTTTCTGGACTGGTGGAAAATGAACATATCAAGATTTCCCACCTTGGTTCATACTGTCAAGCGTTACTTTGTGCACCACCTACGAGCGTCCCAAGTGAACGTCTGTTTAGTACAGCTGAAAATACCTTCAGTGAGACAAGAAGCTGCCTTAATGCTGACAACATATTTTTTTGAAAGCTAATGCTTTCTTGCTTGCTACATACTTCCAGTTTTAACATATGGCTGTGAGTCCTGGTCAATCGGTAGGCAGGCCAAACAATTTCTTGAGGCCTCAGAGATGTGGTTTTACAGAACAATGCTTAAAATACCTTGGACAGCCCCAGAAAAAAAAAAATCAACCAAGAGGTTTTGGAAAAGGCGGGAGCCCAAAGACAACTACTCACAGACATCAGAAGGAGACAGTCATCATTTTTCGGCCATGTTATAAGATGAGAGAAATAGAACATGTGGTGACCACTGGAAAGATCTGTGGAAGGAGGGATAGAGGAAGACAACAGATGAAGATTCTTGACAGTCTTGTTGCAAGGCATGGAGATGTGACAACACACGAACTAATACATGCTACAGGAAATCGCAGATTGTGGCAAGGCATAATCACCCATTCCAGTCGGCAAACCACCTGATGATGATGATGATTCACTATTCGTATTCGGCCGAATAGTTGGTCCAACTATTCGTATTCAGCCGAATAGTGAAAATTGCTTTTCGGTACAGCCCTATTAACTATTCATTCCATTCTGCTCAGATTCTTTCCTTACTCTATATATCTTCTTCTTCTTCACATTCATTGGCCGTAGCTGTAAACTCTGGTGGAAAGTTCTGGTTTGTCCACCTCTGGACTTTAGTCTTGTTCCAGAACCTGAGTGTTGCATGCATATCTGTTTGACAGATCTAAATTAATCGTATGCAGACTATTAGTTCCCTGCCTCTCAGACAGATGCACTCTGACTTCGAAGGAAGCCCCCAATCAGTTGACTCTTACAACATGCTTGTTGGGGAGGTAGTGACTCTGTCCTTGTACAACTGGGCGCACGTGCACGCAACGAACCCCCCCCCCCCCCCCTTTTTTTTTTTTTATATTTTCATGAGCATATGATGATCTACGATACGAGTTATGTTGGTTTACTCTCCTCACTCGCCTACTGCATACAGGGTAGTAGTACACACACATACTTGTGTTTAACTTGTCACTCATAGGTTGCTGATTTGCTGTAAACACTTGATTCACCTTTTTTTTCTCTGCCTCTTTAATGGCTTTTATTAATATGTGGCATTCTCACCAACAGAAAATAGCAATCCAGAAATATCCACATACTCAAGCGGATGCTTAGTCCCTAGAGCTGTGTTGGCATATCGAGATATGTTTCCCATCCTCAACAGTTTGAAAATGCAGTTATAATTTTCTCATTAAAACAATATATTTGTACTTAGACAAAAATCATGAATCCTCTCATGATAGTATCAATCCTTAAAAACCATACATAATGAAGGATCTCTGGACCTTTAGATGTGTTTGCTTTTGTTTATATAAATGCAAGATATCATGTTTATTTGTCCTTCTTAGGAGACCCAGGTTTTAATGTAATGGGATTTCTTTTCTTCTGTAGGAGGCAAAAATAAAATATGAATATAAACAGCCTGGGATGACTCATAGCTATGCAGCCTTAATCATCGGGTTCAACTGAGGCTCCCTTGTCCTACACCATTTTTTTTGTTATTTCAACTTTAAAAAGTAATAAATACTGGCAGTAAAGATAGTTATCTTCTTCTTCTTCATGTTTCATCAGCTGTCAGATCTGGTAGAATGTTCTGATTATTCATCAACTTTAGGATTTTAGTCTTGTTGCAGAACATGAGTTTGTGTGTACATCTGTTTTACCTATTTGGCTTAGTTATAAGCAGATATTGGTTCCTCACCTCTCAGGCAGATGTACTCTGACTCCAAAGGAAACACCTCTAATTAGTTTTAGACTTTTACTACATGTTTTGGGGAGGGGAGGGGGAGTGGGTCGATTCTTTTTCTTCCCAGAATGAGGCCCAGAACCCACACAGGAAAAGACCACTATGATTCTAGGGTCTCCCTTCAAGCTGCAGTTGTGGACTCATCGTTAGTTCAACAACCAAGAACATCAGTCCCCCCAAAAAATCTATTTTGACTTCATTACACAACACAATAACATTTAAAATAAAGAGTGGCTGGCACAAATAAAACATACAAACCATGCCCAAAGACAAACAGCCACCACAAAAGACAAAGCCAAGACAACAGTGTTCAAATTTGCAGACTCAACGGATTTGTTTACCTTGGAGGCCTGAGGATTAGTGACCAGGTGTCGTTGTGAAGGCTTGACTCCATTTGCCTTTTCCCGTTTCCATAAAATATATTTGCTTCTCCTCCTTCCTTTATCACCAGAAATTAAGTGACCATTGTAGCTAGGGGGATAAAAAGGATGGTTGAAGATTAAATCAAGAAATGCAGCAGCACGTTTGCCTACCATTCCCATAGTTGTGTGTTGTATCTCCATGAAGAAATGTTTTGTTTTTTAAACTGACCTGGCTTCCAGGTCAACACAACCTAAAAGGGGGTTGCAGAAAATGTTTTCAGAAATCTTCTTAGTGTTTACTGGTTGTCAACTCTGACAGAAAGTTCTGGTTGGTTGTCCACATCTGGAATTTAGTCCTGTTCCAGAGTTTTGTGTGCACATCCATTTTACAGATCTGGTGTATTTGTTTATAAGCAGACTGTTGATATCCCCCCCCCCCCCCCCGACTGAGAAATAAAGGTGGCCGATGGTAAAATTGCCACATTACCCACCAATTAGTCTATAAAAATATAGGATACCACTGCACACCCAAAACCTAAAGGTATGAACAAGGAACTTTTACTTACAAGATGATTTCTGTTCAAACTGCATACAAAATTAAGGTGTAGCAATTGTCTGTGTGCTGTTAAAAAAATTTGATCCATTGACCTATGGTGTAATACATATGACATAAAAATCGTGCAGCAAGATTGAAAGTAAGGAAGACATTCTAAAGACCATTTATGAACGAACACTGAAGGAAGATATGATGCTAGATTAGGTGTGTATCTGGCAACAAAGGATGTATGAGAGGACAGTATGACATGTGTGTTTGAAACCAGTGTGCTTCTGAAACAGTCAACATTTACGCTTTTTGTTTCCAGAAAATACAATATATTCTTCTGTACATCCACATCTTCAGTAAGTAAAGTCTGGGAGACCGAAGAAATACCAGCAGACTGGAGAGAAGGATACCTTGCGAAATTGCCCAAAAAAGGTGATCTTTAGGAGTGTGAAAACTATAGAGAAATAAAGTTGCTGCAGTTCCTGGAAAAATATTAAGTAGGATTACTTTAGAAAGACTCAAAGAGATGTTGATAAAAAGCTAAGAAATGAACAGGCAGGTTTTCAGCCAAACAGATCCTGTACTGACCTGAAAGCTGTATTATGTATAATAATAAAGCATTGAAAGCATCAATTGACATTGGATTCATAGACTATGAAAAAGCTTTTGACAGCATTGATAGGGAATCTCTCTGGCAAAAAATGGGGCACCAAGGAATCCCACAGAAAATGATTAACTTAGTAAAGGCAACATAAAAAGACACCTTCTTCTTCTTCTTCGCATTCACCAGCAGTAAACACTGGTGGAAAGTTCTGGTTTGTCCACCTCTGGACTTTAGTCTTGTTCCAGAACCTGAGTGTTGCGTGTTCATCCGTTTATCAGATCTAACACATTTGTGTGCAGACTATTGGTTCCTTGCCTCTCAGGCAGATGCAGTCCCCCTTTGAAGAAAGCACCCAATTAGTCGACTTATACAACATGCTTTTGGGCAGGCATTGGGTCTATTCTTGTTTTCCCTATAACAGGGCCCTGGAACCCACACGGGGGATAAAAAGACATGAAATGCCGAGTTCTTCATGAGAGAAAGCTAACAGATAATTTTTTTCATTTTCATATAAAAACAGGGGTGCGACATGGATGAGTTTTGTTGCTTCTTCTACTATTATTTTCACTACCTTTATTTTAATTTTTTTTTTCAACAGCTCTTCCTATTCATACTTTTCAAATATTCATCATAATTCTTCATGACTTCCCCATTTGATGGCTGGTGTTTATGATTCTTGTTTTATTCACTGATAAGACACTAGTTGAAATATTTAGTTTATCTGTTCCTATTTCTCTTCTCCTCTCATTGAGCTTCCCAGTCATGACTTGTGTTTAGTGAATTCACTTCTATGAACAAGTCCACTACACTTACCCCAGCACAATTAATTCTCCAAACTTAATTTTTTCTGCTGTTTCTGTCACCTGACTACAAGCATCAGATGACATTTTTACATGACTTCTTGACTTATTTCAGTGACCTTCAAGTGCAGCCTGCAAAATAAAACAAAAATAACACAAAATCTTTCAAAAACTTGGAATGCAGAAATAACATTACATGTCGACAATTCTCAAATTACATTTTTCCCCGAGTGGGTTCCAGAGAGTCATGCAAAATAAACATTAAATGCAGAAATAACAACATATATGTTGGCAATTCCCAAGTGACATTTTTCCTGTGTGGGTTTCAGAGCGTCTGCAAAATAAACATTAAATGCAGAAATAACAGCACAAATGTTGGCAATTCTCAAGTGACATTTTTCCCGAGTTGGTTCCAGGGCTTCATGAAAAATAAACATTACATGCAGAAATAACATTACATAGGTTTGCAATTATCAACGAACATTGTTCCCTTATGAGTTCCAAGGCTTCATTTTGGACAAAAACTGCCCCCTTAACAATCATATCATATTTAATTACTGGATAGCTAAAAGGGAATATGTCAGGTGAAAGGCATATATATATATATATATATATATATATATATATATATATATATATATATATATATATATATATATATATATATATATATATATATATATATATATATATATATATATACACACACATATATATATACACACATACAACACAATGTGCCAACAGACCTTTAAGAAGAAGAAAAAATTGATTCTTGACCAGTTTCTGTGAAACTTAGAAAACAAGAACTGACTACAGAAAAAATATGTCTAGTTTTTATTCATGATCTTAGACTGATTATAATTATGAGATGAAATCATTAGGTGAAGGCAATTGCATTAATAGGTTTTTACAAGTGGCCGAAACAAAACTGTTCTGTGTTGTGTTTCTCAACATTGTTTTCCTGCCTTGCAACACATGCAGTCCACCGATTTAAAAGACTGTGGATGCCTCACAGGTAGAAGCTTCTGGGTGTGGCAGTAACAAAGTTTACACCACTTAAATCTGCAAATCTCTGACCGGACTAATGTTCTTTCAATGGACCACACAAATGAAAGTCTGATGCTGCCAAGATTCTGGGCAGTATGCTTGATGTTTCAATACTTCAAACGGCAGAGTCTGTAGTGTATCCACAGTATGTGAGGGCGGGCGTTGTCACGCAGCACCAAAACACCTTCTGGGAGAAGACCTGGCGTTTCGATCGGATCGTTGGCTTCAACCCATTTGCTAACATGTCACTGTAACAAGCACTAGTCACAGTTTCACCTCTTTTCTGGAAGTGCATCAATTTAGGGCCACTGACATCCTAAAAGACAGTTAGTATGACCTTCCCAACGGAAGCCTGTCTCTTGAATTTTGTTGGTGCTGGTGATGTGGGTGCTTCCACTGCATCAAGTGTCTCTTACTTTGTGGTTCATAAAGGTGTACCCAGGACTCAACATCTGTCAAAATTTGATAGAGAAAAGCATCTCCTTCATGGGCATGATGGTCTAAATGCTCCTAACAAACTGTCTGCCTAGTGTGCTTCTGTTTATTGGACAGCTGCCTTGGAACCCATCTATTACCACCTTCCTATACCCATAGTAATCATGAACAGTTCTGGATGCAGCACAAGACTCATGTGGAATTTCACAGTAATTTCATCAACAGTGTCTCATCTGTTGTCATCGATTTGCTGCTCTGTTCGCTGTTCCACCATCTTAGCTGCCAAGCTAACAGTTCTCCCACACCGTTTTTCATCACTGACGTTATCCCTTCCATTCATTATTCTAACCACCCATTCATATACTTTCCTCTGACACAAACAACTACTGTATTTCAGATAATTTTAATTTTATAGATTTCAGATGGTTTAACACCCTATGCCGACAAAAAACGAATAGCACCTCATTACTCTTCCATGGTGCATATAACAGCACTTAATAATGCCAGGGTGCCAGGTTCAATCCCAGCTGCAGGCCTTGTGTTGTTCTGTGTGTGCCTGTGTCTTTTTTTAAATAAGTCAGGATATGAATATAGTGATAAAAACAGCACTGGGGGAGGGGGTCCTTATGTCCCTAATAGCTTTTCTAAAGCCAAGCTGATGTTAAATGTTCCCTGAAGCCTCAGTGACAGAAGTCATGAGGTCACGACAATCGGTGTGTTCAGTGATAAATACGGTCCAGAGTGCTTTTACTTTCCATGTAATTTCCTGGTACCTATTTTAGCATCAGTTGTGTGAGACTCGACCATATCTATATATTATCTGACAAAGATAAAAAAGGATCCTTTTCAAGCCAATGGTGCATCAGGCATATGACCAACTGATTATCAAGGGGTGAGTTAGTCAACATCTTACCGGCCACCCTTACATTCCAGGACAAAATGCTGGTACCCATTCTAGGCTGGCTTGTTCAACCTAGCAGCAAAAGCTATTTTTTTCCTATTCCACCTAGCACGGAAACGAACCCAAGACCTTCAGACTGGCAGGCAAGCACTAGTTGGTTGAGGGCCTATGCTTCACCAGGAAATAAATGGGCAAAAATAGTACAGTTTAATTCTTACCATATCACCCCTTTCTTCAGTCACTAAACAATTAGCCTACAACAGTAATTGTTGACTCCTTTCTGTTTCTATACGATAGTATTATACAGGGTTATTCAAAATGATGGACACGCTTTCATTTATAAATATTTCCTTGAATATACAGTGAATATGAATAATATATATATAAGAAAGAGCGGGGAAGGTCTAGTTTCGAATACTACAACTAAAGCGCAGCTGCCAACCCACCCTGTATCACAGCTGCAGTGAACTCAGTTATGCAAGAGATGATTCTTCATGTGCGGGATGAGTTCAGCTATCGCTTAGATGTTTGCCAAGCAGCAGACGGTGGCCATATTTAACACCTATAACCTCTTTTGTAAGTCTGTAAACTTTAGACCTTCCACTCTCTCTCTCATATGTATATTAATAATATGTAATGTATAGTCAAGGAAATATACATGAATGAAAGTATATCCATCAATTTAAATAACTCTCTATTGTGTTACTAAGAGGCATAGGAATCACAGTCAAGGCCAGGGAGATGAAGTACCTCCTCCATGAAAGAAAGACTAGGCAGTATTGTGGAGATCGTATGTTGCCCATGTAGTAAGATCCCTCTCTCTGCCTGTGTTTACTTCACAAAAAAGGAACACCAGGTACTTATCACGAACCTGACCACATGGTGAGAGTTCCTTGCCCTCCCATTCATGCCGCGATGGGTCCACAGCCTGTCTTGTGCTGTGGAGGCATCATGTATTTTTTATTTTCAATGGTTCAAACGTTGTTTTTTTCTTTCTCGTGTGGTCATCGCTCATTTCTGTGATTATTTCCATGTTGTGCTACTTGCCAGATGGTTCCTGAGTTTCGAAACTGCAATGTTTTTGTATTGTATTTCTACGTTCTTTGTCAGTGGCTTATTTTTCTGGGGGGAAGCCACAACAAAGGTGGCAGTACTTCTTACTTGTACACAAGTGCCTGTGGCACCTTAAAGAAACATTATATATAGCAAGCAAACGTTAAACGAAGCCGTTGCATAACACCCCACATCACAGAATAGGTCATGTGACCAGCCACAGCACCAATGGGAGGGGAAGGAAATCTCGCCTTGCGGGCAAGTTCGTGGAAGCTCCTAACACTAATATGTTTGGAATAAAGCATGTCTCAAAAGCTGCCCGATCAGAAGAGCAGTACAGTCTGTCCATCTGTCACAGCTTTCCTTCCAGACCAGCTGGTATATATCTATTACGCTTTAAAGGTATGTATTCATGCATGATAAGACATGCAAAGTTTTAGAACAGGAAGAAGCATTTGACAGGGTGGATAGGAATATGTTGTGTAACTGCTTAAGAAGATATGGAATCAGCCAACACCTAGCTGAAGTGTTATACAGAGAGCAAAAGCAGGTCCATCTCAAACTTTTTAAAGTAAATTCAGGCGTAAGACAGGGATGTGTGCTATCTCCCCTGCTTTTTATAACATACATCAACAATATATGCAAAGAAGCAGAGAGTGAAGAAAAGAATTGTTATTTCCAAATGACCAATTATTATTAGCTGAAACAGAAGAGAGTTTACAGAACCATATAGACCAAGACAATATTAAGTGTGAGAAATATAATATGAGGATAAGACAGGGGCACAGGTAATAGGCAGACAAAAAGAAACCATATCACTTTAAGTAAATAACACAGAAATAAAACAAACGAGCAAATTTAAATAGCTAGGGTCATTTTTTACCTCAGATGGGAGAAAAGATAGAGAAATCAACATACAAAAGCAAATCAGGTTATGAGAGAATTATCACCGCTTCTGACGCAATGAAAGATACCTCTGAGTTAACCAAAGCATATCTCACAATAACAGTTTTTTTGGCCGACATTGTGCTACCAGTGCCAAACATGGACTCTTATTACAACTAATGAGCGGAAGATTGTAAATACAGAGATTAGATGTCTAACGAGAGCTGCCCGTGTGACAAGAAGAGATAAAATCAAGAATTAGGAAATTAGAAGAAGACTATGACTGAAACCAGTCATCATCACCATCATAAATTCTCTTTATGCCTAGTGGCACATGAGGCTTCAGAGAGTACTTTCCATGCTTTCCTGACCTGTGCAATCTTCAGTGTCACATAGTTCATTAAAGAACAACAAAGGAGATTGTTTGGCCATCTGAGAAGAATGACTTGGTACCAACTGCCACAGAGAGCCATGCTAAAGAAACATAATAAACACAACGCAAGAGATAGAGTGATATCATCAGGAGCAACCTAACAGAAATGAACACCAACTTGTACAACGCATTGGGAAAAGTGCACAATCGATCCTTATATCTCTTCCCAACACCTCGATGAGGTAAATGGTGGAAGAGAAGAAGAAGAAGATGCATGCTTTCTTCATGTTTTAAAGGCAATGAAGGATTCTTTTGCATTTTTTCTTTAGATGTCCCAATGAAATCATGACTTTCTATTCCTTTCTATGATTGGGCACTTTAGGCAAACAG